TGTGTAATACATATCAGGTTTAGCAATCGATTTTTATTTCGTTTTAACTTTCAAGTTTATTCAAAAAGTTTTCCTAAATAAGATTTAATTAGTGATATCTTCAAAAATAATCATAAATCGGTCAACACTATTACATAGCTAGCTATAGTAAGGCACATGCATTGCATGTGCACTCACTAGTTATTTGAAATAAGTGAAGGTTCTACCGTGACACGTGTTACTGATACAATAACCTTAATCAAGATCTTGTCAAGTCTTGCTAAATTCCATCATTTGTCCATGGATATAGTTGTCGAACTTGAGACCTTATTGATGTGGCAGAATTCATCTCAACTTCACCACTCGTTGCTCTTGAGATTTTATGCCATCCACAAAAACTTGGCCCGTGCTTGACCTCCATTTTTTGTGAAAAAAAAAAATATGTTTTGAAATAGTAATTTTTGTGAAGAATGTGTAGTTAAAAAGTCAAAAAATTTTAAAATTACGTGTAAAATTATTTTATAGAAGAATGTAATTCAAAATGAATTTTTAAACTATCATGTCACTTCTGATAAAAAATAAAATAAAAACTCAACTTCCCACATAGATTTGACCTCATCTATATGACATGAGCTCATCCTCTTGGATTCAATCTTATGTCCTCTTATCAAGGTCTTATCTTTATGGGTTTCCCCTCATTCTCTTGGCAAATTTTAGTTAAACATCAAGCGATAATGTATCTCATCTTCTTCAACACGAATTATACATTACGTCCCTTCTATTTTATGTTTCATTGAAATATTCAAACGTTTAAAGTAGGAATTTTTCTCCACGGTACCTCAATCGATTGCTACATGTGAATCCAATGTCTTGATTTCATGATTATTCAACAAGCAAGATAGAGTTTTGCAGGTAAAAAGAATTGGTAAAAGGTGGCATTGGCAGAGAATGGAACAAACATCACATGTGGGTTATAATGACACCAACCTCTTTAGCATTTCAATTTAACTTGGGAAACACACCAAAACTACTACATTATGGATTCCTTAAAAAAAAGGTACAATGTTTTCATCTTTTCAAGGTTCAATTCCCTTTATTTAACATTATTTTCATGAAAATCTTATTGTTATTAGTTAATAGTCGAATAATGAAGTATCCTAATCAATGGATCATAAAAGCTTGTTAGTTAATAATCTCATAATTTATCAGCGTTCGACCACTAATCAAATACAAATCGATGTCGAAGTTGGTAAGAAGTCACCAACTCTGCTCCTTTTACATAAATAATAGCAGTGTGGCACTTTCGATAACTTAACCCAATTTTAAAAAGGTGAAGTAGTACTAAGTAGGTACGATTTTAATGAAATTGCTCTTAATAATTGTTTAGTACGGCTTAAAAAACTTGCGTATGAATAAGCTGAAATATTTGGCCAAAATACCTTACTTAAAAGTAATCTTCTTACAAATAAATATGAAATATTATTACATTCAATGATCAAAACATATTATAAAAAAAATTACTTAAGAATAAGTAACTTAGCTAAATGTGGTACAACTTTGAGTTGAGTGTCTTTTGGATTCTTATGTCGTGCTCAACAAAAAAAGTTGGATCCTTCAAGTTACATGGAAACTCGAGCCTAAGGGGCGCGGCATGGAGATATGAGTCTTATCGTAAAATTTTAAATCACTTAATATAAAAATGTCTGAGTTAGTCTTCTAAGGTTCGCATTTAACCCCTGATTGGTACACATACTTTCAAAACTCATTTTCAAACATACATTTTTCAATAAAATAATATTTTACATCACATCAATAACGTTTCCTTACTTTTTAATCACATATTTTTCATCATATCACTATTTAAAATATATTATTTCCTCAATAATATCCATCAAACACACCCTAAAATAGAGCTTCGAGATTTAATAGGGAATGAAAATGCAGTTGAAGAAAATACATATGCTTTCTTTTCAATTTTTATATCGAACTTGGTCCTTAAACAATTTCTTTTAATTAATTTGTAGGTTGAATACCGTGTCATAATGCACCGTAATACTAAAATTATATTTGGCATTATTGCATTAAGCCTAGATTGCAACGGATTGGTGGTGGCGGTTCTACAATCTAGACTGTTAATTCAATCGTTTATTTTTATTTTTATTTTTATTTTTGTGTTTAATTTTCTGCGGTGGTGGTGACGTCATTGAAGTGATTTCATTTGCAAATGTGGCGTTTGGCTATAGCCTATAGATGGGTGCGGGTGGGTAGGTGAGCTTAGTTGGGAAATATGAAAAAAAATAAAATTCTTTTTTTTTTTTATGTGTTATATCTTTATTGTTTTAAGTTAGGTTAATTTGCACTTTTTTAAAAGTTATGGGATTTTTTTTTCTTTTTTTTCATTTTGTTACTGCTATTTTTTCTTTTATTTATTTCAAGAGTTGGACAAATCCGTCATTTGACTGCCAAAGCGAAGAGAACAATGAACTTTTCTACATAATTGAAAGGTTGGGGATGGTTAAGGATAAAAAAATATTGATTTTAGATTTATTACATTTTACAAAAGTTGGGGGGCAAAAATGAAATTTTCCAAAAATAATAGTTGACGCCTTTATCTATGTTAAACGGATTGACTAACAAAATTAATATTTTCTTCCCAAAATTATTTTCCTAATTTAAACATGATTTTGCTTCATTTTAAGAAAATAAAGAATGTCTAATATAGCTATGTTAAACAATCGACTAACAAGATTAATATTTCCTTTCCAAATATATTTTAAAATTCGGATTTAAACATTATTTTGTTTTAATTTAATAAAAGAAAGAACGTCTAAATATCAGCTCATTGTAAAGATTAAATTAATTTATTTTTCTATTCGGATTTAAACATTATTTTGTTTTATTTTAATAAAAGAAAGAACGTCTAAATATCAACTCATAGAATAGATTAAATTAAATACTAATGTGGACATGAATGTCTATTTATTAAACTTAAGGGTTAATTTCACAAACGGTCACTAAAGTTACGTCAAAATCACAAAACGGTCACTGAAGTTTAAAACTTGCACCAACGGTCACTGTAGTGTCATCCAGTTTCAGTAATGGTCACTGAAAGACCTTTTTCATTTTAATTGGAACTTAATGGACCAAAATAGTTGAAACTTGAACCTTGAGGACCTAAATTGCAAATTTGACAAATTTATATTCATTTTCTTAGCCTTCTATTGGATATAAATTTATAAATGGTATTCAATTAAAAATTTTAACTATTCATTTAAAAATTATTTTTTATTATCCACATATTTCGTGAGATCTATTATATTCCTCTTATTGTTCTCTTCATAAACCATTTATAAATTTGCAAAACAGTGGCTTAAACTAAAATTGGAAAAATATAAAATATATTCTAATAAATTAATAATATGTTGAAAAATACAGCAAAAACTCCCTTTGAATTTTATTTTAACATTACTAAATGGACAAATAGAAATTATTAGTTGTTATCATGAGTTACAGTCAATGAACTAAAAAGAATAAATAAAATTATATTTCATATTATGTATTATTTTGCAGTTTAAATGAATTTATTATTTATTTTAAGTTGAAGTTATAGTTTTATACTATTTTGTTAATATATTTTCAAGAATTCATATATAATTTTATTTATTTTTTTATGTTCTTATTTTCTTTCTCTCTGTCCCTCTCTTTTTACAAAAATAAATAAATAAATAAATAAATAAATAATCACCTTATATGGGTTAAGTTCACAAAAAAAATGGTTTTGGGGGGTTTTATTGTCAAATTTGCAATATAGGTCCTCAAAGTTCAAGTTTCAACTATTTTTGTACATTAAGTACCAATTAAAATGAAAAAGGTCATTCGGTGACCATTACTGAAACCGTATGATACTTCAATGACCGTTAGTGCAAGTTTTAAATTTCAGTAATTGTTTTATGATTTTGACGTAACTTCAGTGACCGTTTGCGAAATTAACCCATAAACATCAATATCACAACAACTTCTATTCCTCTTAGATAGCAATCCATATTATATAGAATGTGTTAGGGATGCTACGTCCTCCCCCTAGTTATTAAAGAAATGATAAGAGTAAACTGGAATAAGAAAATCAAATTCCAAGGAATAAAAAAATGAAATATTAAATCCATGTTAGGTAAGAAAAGGTATTTTTTAATTGGAATTTAGACTTCCAAATTTTCAAACTTGTGCACATGAAATAGGACAGAGTAATGTTATTCATAAACATTAATCATCTTTACATGACAACTTCTTATTTCAGATTTTAATTTGTTATTTGAGGCAACAAAATTAATGCCTCAAATAATAAGTTACAACATGTGATGATTACTGCCGTCGTTGAATATAAATAAAAGAAAAATATTATAATTTGTTGAGATGATGGAGAAAAGGAAGAAATAAAGAAAAGAAAAATGAGGTTATTCCTTTGGAACACTGTATTTGCGCCTCCTCCATTTCGAGAAGATACCCAACGGCGGCTCTATTTTGCGCACACACAGAATGAAGAATGAGAAATATACATCTACTTTTACAATGTCAGTTAGATTTCTCTAAGTATATTAGCTAGCATAGTTTTCCAGATATCTCAGCGGGCGTCAATTAGCATATCTAGCCGTCTTCTAACAATAAAACAAAGCAGCTCCAAAAGAACTATTCTATTTCCTCCACGCCAGAAAACTTTATCCGTCGGCTTACCAAAGTCGTCTCGTCATCGTCATCGTCATCGTCAAAATCAAGTCCATCATTATCATAGTGCATGTCGACGACAACTCTATCATCAAGATTATTTGTTTCAGAGGATCGAGCTTGATAATGATCTGTTCTGGCATGTGGAGAGTCCAACTCTACGAGTTGCATTTCTGATTCTATCAGAGCTTTCATTTGAGCCCTCTCCCTGTCTCTTGGATAGGAACGATAGAGGAAAGAGTAGATGATGCAACATAGAGCCATTGGGATCGAGACTGCAATGAAAAGAGCCTTGGCCAAAGATGTAGCATTCTCCCTGTCCGTGGAAATATCTTCAGAACCTTCTGGAACCGGCTTATAGCCGTAAACATACTGAGCCAGTAGTCCAACAATTGGAGGAGCAAATGATGATAACACGGACTCAAATGATCGGTCCAAAGCATAGATATGCGTTCGTGATTTCTCTGGGACTATCTCTGCAAAAATTGGACTGTCTACAGCATATTATTAAAGCAATTCAAAAGTAACCTTCTGAAACGTATAACACAGCATTATAATTAGAATATATTCATACTTGAGTAGTCTCTTTTAAGGTATAGTTCTCCCTTCACAAAGTTGGAAATTCTTCTACTAATTCATGGATATCATTGTAAAATTGCTATGCTGAATATGTAAATTACAAATACTTGGAAAGTTAAAAAGAGAGGGAATATATGAAGTATCAGTTAGGAAGTCTTACTTGTTTGTTGCTGCAGCATTCCAAGATATGAAAAAACCTGCAATTAACAGGACGAAACCATGCAAGAACATTGTAGATGGATCGGTTGGCAAGGACCGGAAAAGAATTGCTGTGAGAGGAATAGCAGATGCCGAGCTTATCTGGGATAGAATTATCCTGCCAGAATTTGGAAGGCGTTTGGATAGGATATCACCCATCCTACCACCAAACAAACCCCCAAGAGAGTTAGCAACTACGAAAACACCTATGAGAATGGCAGTTTTTGAGTGGGAGAAGCCAGTTAACTCCAACCACATTGGTGAAAACGATAAAGCTGACCAGGGAAACGAACCGGTGACACCTTGAGCTACAATAATTTGGAAGGATCGAATCTTTATTACTGATTTTGCTTCATGGATAAGAAACTTAACTTCTTCTATAAAGGATCTACGAGGAACTTCGTTGCTAGTTCTTACACCACCTTCCGGAAAGTGTGGGTCCTTAGCGAAGATGCGTACTAAAATTCCCACCACCACACTTATTATACCGACCAGATGAAAAGAAATTCTCCAGCCGGGGATTCCCATAAAAATAATTGGCGCTATCAATAATGAAAATAATCCGCCAAGAATTGAACCAAGGTTACTGGTAAGCTGTAGCCATCCAAAAGCCATACCACGGCTGCTGTCATCAGTTGAGTCAGCCACAAGGGACTGGATGGCAGGTATAACAATGGCAAGTCCAATCCCATTCAAAGCTCTAGATACAGCGACCTAGGCAACAAAGATGAGAAAACGTAAGATGGCATCCGACAAGGTTGAAGGGAGAACTTTAGCACTACCAAATTGCCATATAAATCAAAATGCAACTATCCCGCACACACATGTAAGTGCAACCACCACAACCCCAGCCAACTCACGTCTTTCTCCTATGTTCTTTCTTTGATGTGGAACAGTCATTTACAGTGATAATGGTAGGTATTAGATCCTATCTAGGGCTCAACTACCCAGACCTGAAATCTTGTCCCCATATTATGCAAGGAGGCTAAATTTCGGAATATCAAATTGGAAAGGACTGATGTATAGACTTGCCCGAAAACATACATTTGTCATCTCATCTGGCGACTGTAATCAGTCAAATCTAATTTTATGAGCACTAAATGGATCGATTAATCTACGAATACAATGTTGCAGACTTGAACTTTTAAATATTGTGGTTATCTTCATTGTCCTGGCAGCCAGTGTATGAAGAACTTAAAAAAATTTCTGTTCAATGTGTATCACTTCATGTTGATCCTAGCATAAAATATTATGTGCGATGATGCTCTATACTCCTTTAAGTATATCAAAATTTTCCAAATTATAATGCACACCACCTTCCACGGTCGGCGTCCAAAGACAACTGTCTATCCATATTCCCATTTCAGACAAATCTCATGGTACTACAGGTTATCCTCCTATAATTTTTTCTAAGAAAACTTTCTACATCAGCAATTTCTCATCATCCAATTATGACATGATTTTTATACTTATCAATTCTTATGAACATTTAACGGCTCATTGCACTTCTTACGAACATTATATTACTAAGGCTACTGCTACCAGTGGAAAGTATTCTGAAAGTCATATAACTCATCTCAAAGAAACGCTATTTGAATATAATGCAGAATTCTTCAACACATACATAATACCCAATAATCACTTGTAAACTTAAAGGCTTTTTGGCAGAGATTCCGTTTTTACTTTGACTTCTTGTAGAAGAGTTTTCCGAGGAATCTTAGACCCACCTTCTCTAAAAGTGCTCTTAATCAGACAAATTACATTCAGAAAATTATTCAAACAAGTTCAAAAGCAGTTTATTAGTCTAAAAAGCAATTTTTTATTTTCAAAAGCCCTCACAAAGGGGCCCTTAGTTGGGCCACAAAGAAAACTCAAAAGTAGAATTTTTTTATGTTAGTTCTAAAGCTAAGAATTTAGGCCATACAAGTTCACTTGCTCATACTGATTGAGAATCTGGACTGAATATATCATACACATCAAAGTATACATGCCCTAGAAGAACATTTTTACTAAGGATTACAAACAACAAACTAATGCTTGTTTCCAACAAAGTTGGAGTTGTGTACTAATTCACCAAGGATTATGATATGAAAATTTTGGAATTATATTATTGTCATTCACAAAATCAACAAGTATATGAATCTCCTTTAGACAAGATGTGACTCCCAAGTTGACTTCGACCAACCAAGATAGGTACCGCAATTACGTACACATTAATAGTGTTGGGACCAAACTAATTTAATTTAATTTTTATGAGGAGGTTACAACTTAATAGAAATTAAGTTTAAAAAATTATTATTTTGACTTAGTTATCCTTAGTGCAAGTGGTATAGAGGTAAAGCATACAGTCTACAGTAATAATTAATACATGGAGCATGCCAAATCCGAGGTATAGAAATTGATAAAAGAGATAGACATAGTTCCAATAAATACTACATGTATCTATGTGATGTTGGAAATATGCAAAGTCATCTTAACAGTTTGCGTTCTCTTTAATGTCTCTCTCTGAATGTAAATTCTATAAATATATTGTATAATATAACTCATGCAATATACAAATTATTACAATGTGGAGTCTGTTCTTATTTATCACTACATGGAGGTTATTCCTGTATCACTGTATAGAGGTCTTATGTAGTACTAATGCAATAAGAGCTCAATCTTCTTTTATTCTAATTTCAGGGTTAATTATTTATGTATTTATGCAACCTGTGACTAAATGATGCCACATACTCCAGCACGATCGTAGTAGAAGCCGAGATGATGAGAACTTTGCCCTACATATCATAATTCGAGGTTTACTTAGTTGTATCGGAGTAAATGATCTTACCAAGACAACACGTAATAATGCATATGCACACTGGCAGTATACCATAATGCCTTCAAGTTTGCATGATTTGTGCTGGGTTTTGATAAACGATAAATTCAAGAGATGTTTTAAAAGAGATGTTGGATAATTTATCGACACCATAGACGTGGCTCGACCCGGAAACAACCAACATTTTTGGTTGGCCCAAGTTGGAGTTGGATTTAGTGGTTAGAAGTGATATTGGATTGTTAGCCCATTTGGCTTGTTATTATGTTGGCCCATTTAAGTGGATGTCTTAGCCCAATTTACCATATAACCTAAATTGATGTTATAGATGCAACCTAATCTCCCAGCCGTGTGTGCGAGTGAAAGTTGCAATAGAGAGAGTTGAGTGAGGCAGCTGAAGGTTGGAGTTGCTTGAGTGAGATTCAACCATTGTTTTCTCTTCATCCTTCTCTCCTTCGTGATATTGCAAATCACCACCCCCTTTGAGTCTTTTGTGGGTTAGAAGAAGGGTAACTGGAGTGGGTAGAAAGAGGCAACTGAAGATGCAATGTTGTCGGTCGTGCTGAGGTCAGGTATTGTTCATTTGGAGGTTTTTCTGAGCCTGGATTCAAGATCTCTCGAAGCTTCCACACATCAATTTGTAAATATCCTTAATGTCATCAGGGAGTTCTCTTAGTGATTCAAGCAAAATAAAATAAAATGTATCAATTAAATATAACTGGAGCTTTCAACTTGGAATTTGGAATTCAAACAAAATTCTAAGACCAAAGAAACTTTCTTTTACTTCCAATTCCAACAAGAAAAATATATATCCATTTATTATAATGAATAACTAAAGGAAATCTAATGATGAATCAGTTGCATCAAAGTAATAATAACAGAAGAATTCAAAAATTATTCAAATTCCCAAAACATAATCAAAACTTTCAACTGCACAAAGTGAAGAAATTGATTAAAACAGAGTAAAATAGCACCCACCTGGAAGAAAGTGGAGGAGAAGGCAACGAGGAAGGTAGCGGCGGCCCAAAGGAAAGCCCCATAAGCAATTACATGCGCCCGGTTGTGCCGAACAGCCAAGTAAGTGGCTAGAGGGTAACAAAAGCACTGAACTATTGACCTGAACAGGGTCAATGACCCGAGTCCATCCGGGTTGATGTGGAGTGCTTCTCCTACCTCTTTGTATACTCCAGGTAACAATGATTCATCTGCTCTCTCCATTATCCCCGCTAGATATACGAGCACTAGCGTCAACGTTTCGGGTTTCATTTTCCCCCCTTTTTTCTGCGATTTTTGGTGGATTGTTTTGATGATTTTGTGAAGGGTTCAGAGTGTGATTTCGGAGATCTTGATGAAGCGGTAGCGGGCGGATGGCGGGGCCGCACCAACGTTCCCACAAAATTATGAAAAGTCCAGGTCTTTAGTATGACTATTTGAATTTTTTTTTTAATAATTTATTATCAAATTCTTCAACAAATTTTGGAGTATATTTAGAATTATGTATGCACGAATTTTTAAATGGCACTTTAAGTATATTAACATCGTATCTATAGTTTTAAAAATTGGTCCGAGAATGTATGTGTTATTGAAATTAAAAATATGAGAAGTTAGTGTAATTTTTAATTATGAGTGATAGTGTCTGATATTGTTACGACATTTATATAATTTTGTTTGACCATATTATTTTTTAAAAAAAATTAAATGTTGATTTTGCTATTAATAAATATTGATTTAATGTTAAAAGTATACTCACGAGAAAAAACAAAATAATTATTAATACATTAACCTTCTAACTATTTTTCTTTGAATATTACTTCATTTCTATTGGCAAATAATTTAGACTCGGTCAAGTCAAAGCATATGCTATATAGGTGCCATTTCTCATAAATGTTCTTACTGAGAATTGGGAGGCTCAGAAGTCAGAAGTCGGCAAGAACACCTAAATTATGTGACCCAATATGAACATGTCATGTTAGGATTCGACGAAGTCAAAAATGGAAAATTTGCAATCAAGGTACCAAAAATTTCAATTAGTTGCAGACTTTGTTGAAATCTTTCATTTGTGTCACCCACAGTACCAAACCTTTAAAAAATCGCGACTTCAGTCCTCATTGACAGCTTTCGCCTGTTTGACTACCAAAATCGTTAGTTGACCCCAGAAATCAAAAACAATTATAATTTTCACCAAATAGACCGTGTCAATTTCGGAATTACACATTTTTCATGTCTATTATTTCACTTCACTATTCACTTTCCCTCAATTTTCATCACTATTAATATAATAATGTCATTCTCTCTCCCACAGTTAGTCAAGAAAAATCAGCACGCAGATGAAAATGAATGTATGAAGATGTGGTTTTCCAACGCACATGAAGACCTCGTAGACAAATCTGAACCCAAGAAGAAGATTTCTCACTTGTCATCGAAGTCAAGATCTGGGTGGATGTACCTTTTTCGTGTAGTGTGGGTGTGACCCTCCTATGTGTGAGAGATCTATAGATTAAATTAAAACTACAGATTAAATAAATGTTTTTCATAGCAAAACAAAAGTGATATAGAGCCTATCTGATGTGGCTTTTTTTGGATTAAAAGCAAAAATCAATCCGTTGGAATTGGTCAAAGGGTCTCACGCAAGAGAGAGCTGGTCAAAAATCTCAGGTTGTAACGGGCAAAAAATGAATTGCTTTCCTCCAAAAATCTTGCCCAGACAGGTCCATAATGTCGATACATTGAAGCATATATCACTCACTTCACAGGTCATCAACCCGCAATTCTTCGTTGCCACTTCCTCCTCGTTATCCGCACATATAACAATGACCACAGGAAATGGAACGTTTGGAATCAAAGCATCATTCTCGACTTCGTCTTCATACGGTACCATCTAGTCGAAAATATCAACTACCACTTAGGTTAATGGTTGAATGACATCAGCGTCTTGTAAGCGTCACTTTACCCCTAACAAGTTGAAGGTTCTTCTTTTAAAAGTTGAACTCTTAAATTTGTTGAACTCGGATTACAATCAGATATGAAGTAGTACATGTTTACAACTAATGTGTATGTATCACCCAAACATTGAAAGTTGAACTTTTAAATGCATTGTACTCATGGATTACAATTAAATATGAAACAGTACCTATTTACAATTAATATGTATGTATCACCCCAAACATTTCATAACCCTTTAATCTGAGTCACTTTATACATTTTGTAATTCACTCGGGGCAATCGAATTTATTATAAAAATCTAATCAGTGTCACTTTATACACTTTGTTGAGTATAACTAAACTCAATCATTATTACAATACACAAATAATAATAGCTATGCAATTGAGCTACACACTCAATTGAAATAAGTTTGGCATTGTATTATTACTGTCGACAAACAAGAATCAATTGTTGAGAATTTCATAACATAAATGTTGAGACTGACAGTTTATCTTGACATATGAGTTTCATAAGAATTGCATGTAAACTCTTTATATGCTAACATGAGTAAGATATTTGAATTCTCAAATTTAACCACATTGCATCAGAAAAATAAGACTAACTTCACACAAACTCAAAATCATATTCACGGCACAGTATAAAAACCTTAAAATACAACAAATTACAAGTTTAAAAAAAAAAGATTCACATTCTTTTCCCATTCAAAAGAAGATTGTGCTCCCAAATCATATCTTCGATCCGAACATGAGATCAACGTAACCATTGATGAGCTTGAAGGATCAAAGAACTCAAGCTAAATCTGTTAAAATGCAGTAAAATCCTACTAAAAAAATATCACCTAGTGATTCGAAGTGACAATATTCGAAGGGATTATTAAAATGACAATCAAGATTATCTCCCATAATAATGATGAATTTACTTGGAATCCACTGAATGTTGGACTTTCAATAATAATTTGTACGTAGAATTCTTTTGGATGAATCCTAAATTAACTCTTGTATTATATTGCCTTGAAGGCATGAGACGAACTTTAAATTCTTTTGGAGGATTCTACCATGTCTGACTCCACTTAATGTTGAAAAATGGAGGGGAGGGAAAAATGTGTGAGGAATAAGAAAAATGTCGTGGGTTTGTAATGTGCGGTGGGCTTAGGTTAGGGTATTGTGTTTAAAAAGTGGGGGGTGGGTGGGGTGGGGTGGGGTAGGGTTGGTATGATGTCTTTTCACTTTTTGTACTATTTTTTCATCTAATCAAATCACGTTTAATTAAGAACGTTCAAGGTATTAAAATTTTCTAGAGGAGCAAAAAATTTCAAAAGTGACGTTCTTATAAAGATTATTAAAATGTGATATTTTTGTAAACGAAAATTCAAAAAGTGATATGTGGTGCAATTTCTTCTAAAATTAATCCCATCAATTTCGCTCTAACTTCAATATTAATAATAATAGAACTCATTGTACCCTCAAGTGAACTAATTATTAGTTGAACTAGATTTAATTCAACCCGTTCTTTCTTTCTTCTATCATCAACACATTGGCCGACATACAATGAATCTTAATTTGAAACTTCTTAAATAGTCTTGCCATTTGTTTTTAAATTGTTAGTTACATTGTAGATTTGACGATCATTGCAGCAAGTCGTAATTGAGGGACTAAGTTACGTACTCATTTTTACCAAGTCGGTGAAGATTTTGGTACGTTAACTCGTGAAAGAATTTAACATTTTGTCTCCTCAAAAATGAAAGTTTCAGTCAAATGAAAAGTTTACTCGATGATATAGCGATTCCAAAAGAGACGTTATTTACAAATGAACCAACGCAATTTTGGTGCACAAACTTGTGCAAATAAACTAGTTACCGTGCTTATAAAAAACTGAGTGATAGTCATGCTGACGTAATCTGAAGATCCGACAACATTTTCTCCTAAAAAAATGCCCGAAAAAATCGCTATGGATGGAAGATCTCTATTTTATACTTTTGCCTCCTTAAAAGACCTCTATTTGACATTTATAGCCTACTAAAAAAATTAAAAAATCATTTATACTTTTTACCAAGTCGGTGAAGATTTTGGTATGTTAACTCGTGAAAGAATTTAACATTTTGTCTCCTTAAAAATGAAGGCTTTGGTCTAATGAAAAGTCCGCTCGATAATTTAATGGTCCCAAAAGAAACTTTCAACTTGGAAGTTGGAATTCAAACAAAATTCTAATACCAAAGAAACTTTGAACCATTATATAAAATGAGGTTGATATACCAAAAATGCTCGTGAACTAACTTATACTATTTTTATCTAAATTTTACTTGAATTATAAAAAGTACATGTTTGTATTATTTTAGTTTATATATATGAATTTTCATATTGATAAGTTTGCATATGTTAAAATTTAAATTATTTATCCATAATATATAATTAACTAAAAAATTAAATCATTTATTATCAAATTCTTCAACTAATTTTAAATTTAAATTTTCACTATCATGTACATTCAGAATTATGTATCCACAAAATCTTTAAATATTAATTTATTATTGAAGAGAATAAATTAAATTGCAATTAAACGATAAAATATTAATCTTTTTCATCATAATGATATTTTAAATATATCGATATCATTTTTAGATTATGTAGTTTTAAACGGTGGTAAGAGGATATATGTGTTACTAAAAACTAAAAATAAGAGTAGTGTAATTTTTTAATTACAAGTAATAAGCACGTGTGACACACGTCTTATGTATCAGATAAATGAAATGCGTAATGTATTTGACTTATTAATACTGTTTTTGAAAGTAGTTGAGGTAATTAATATTATTAAAAAAACATTAAAATTGTTAAAAATAATATATATAAATAAAAGTTTTTTGTGAAATAAGTATATAATATAAAAAGATTCAATAAACCGAAAAACCTAAAATACATACTTTTACCAAGTCGGGTAAGCTTTTGGCATGTTGACTCGTGAAAGATTTTTAACATTTTGTCTCCTCAAAAATGAAAGTTTCAGTCAAATGAAAAGTTTACTCGATGATATAGCGATTCCAAAAGAGACGTTATTTACAAATGAACCAACGTAATTTTGGTGCACAAACTTGTGCAAATAAACTAGTTACCGTGCTTATAAAAAACTGAGTGATAGTCATGCTGACGTAATCTGAAGATCCGACAACATTTTCTCCTAAAAAAATGTCCGAAAAAATCGCTATGGATGGAAGATCTCTATTTTATACTTTTGCCTCCTTAAAAGACCTCTATTTGACATTTATAGCCTACTAAAAAAATTAAAAAATCATTTATACTTTTTTTTAATATTATAACTTATCTATAAT